GTTGCTATTCTAATGTGTGTGAGGTGACACCTCACTCTGACTTTGATTTCTGTATCTCTCATGAAAATCATAGTAATTTTGAACACTTTTTTGAGAATTTACATTTTATAATTGGTCATGTCAATTTAAATCTCTTGCTTTTTGCAAAAAAATAGATTATACATTAGTTTTTTATTTTGATGTTTTATAGTTAGGTAAGTGTATGTATATACACACACACATTCATATATATATACATATATGTATATACATACATATATACATATACATACACACATATATATATACTGGATGTATAACTCCTTAACATATATAAAATTTGCAAGTACTTTCAGTATGTATGTGCCTTCTCAATGTATTTATTGTGTCTTTTGATAGCTTTTATAAAGTTGTATTTCTTTGCTTTTAAAATATTTTCTTGTCTATTTGCTTGCATTGCTTGTATATCTTGTGTCACTGTTAAATCAGATGTCATGAAGCTTTCCCCTTAAAACCAAACCAAACCAAACCAAACCAAACCAAACCAAACCAAACCAAACCAAACCAAACCAAACCAAACCAAACCAAACCAAACCAAACCAAACCAAACCAAACCAAACCAATGAAAACACAGGTCCAGTTTGTATTCTCTATATACTCAGTGGAGCATGGTCAAACTCTCAGTGGTATGCCCCTTAAAGAACTGAGTCTTTTCCTTCCCATACTTCCACCAGAATGCATCAGTTGTGCAAAGCTAACTTCAGCATCCTTATAACATTTTCTAAACGTTCTTTTCGATGGCTTCCTGTTTAGGCTGTTACTTTTTTGTGGGGGGAGGGGAAGCAGGTCCTGGGTGACATAGAGGCTCTTTAGGAAGCCTTGAATTTACCTCTTTCTCAACTTTTCATCCTTTGACATTGATTTTGATGCCAAAGCAGTTTCCTTTCTCTTTACAGTCAGGAGGCATGGATCATGGGCCTCCTGTTGGTTTCTGGCCATAGCAGAGACCATGAACATTGCACCCATCTGCAGTAGAAACCATGGATGCAGATAAGGCCCTCAGAGGCAGCCCTAACCCAGACATCACTATAATCTCAGGCTAAAGCATAAACCAGAATAGATCAACTCACTTGCCTTTTGGTGGTAACACAGGCCACAGATATCCAACACAAACTCTGGGTATAGCAGGACCACAGACCTTGACATGGCCCTTGGTAGCAGTGCAGGTCTGGACATCATCATGGCCTCAGGGGGCTAACGGAGGCCACTCAGATCAATATGGCCCCCATTGGCAGCACATCCCATAGACATTGACATGGATTCAGGCCAAGTCATTAACCATGGACAGCCAAATGGAGTTAGGTGGTAACTTGGGCCTCTAACATCAGCCCAGCCCTTGGCTACATCAGGACTACTGATCCTTACATCGTCCTCAGTGTCCACAGTGGTTTGGAGGTTCCCATGAGACTCTTTTAGCCAACAACTCAATTAGATGCAACCCATTCACCTGGTACTAGAAGCTTCATTTGATGACAAGAGATGTCTAGCTGGAGCTCTCTCTCACCCATTACTCGACAATTTCATTTAGAGTACCTTCATATATCTATTTTAAGATGCTTCCACTGTATTAGGCTTCTATACTGACCCTCAATGGCCTTTAATTTTAGCTGTCTCTTCCTGTACTTCCTCCCTTATGCCTCTCCTTGCTCCCCTCCCTGCTTGATCCTTCAGTTCCAGCCCCACTTTTGCCTCTGTCCATCTCTGAGTATCTATTCTAGTTCCCTTTCTTAGACAGCCCTATCTGTTCTATCTAGTCTCTGATTCTATGCCTCACCTCTGTGGTTATATGGCTTGTAGCTCACTTATCTAAGACTTAACAACTAATATACACATATACGTGAAAACCACTTTTCTTGTTCTGGGTTACCCCAGGACAATGTTTTTTCTAGTTTCATCCATTGATCTCCAACTTTCATGATTTCAGTTTTTTAATGGCTCAGTAATACTTCCATTGTGTAAATGTACCACATTTTTTTTATTCATTCATCACAGATGTTGAGGGACATCTAGGTTGTTTTCAATTTCTGTCTATTATAAATACATCAGCAGTGAACGTGGTTGAGCAAGTGCCTCTGTGGTGGGATGAAGCATCTCTTCTAGGCAGCTCAGTTGATCTGAGTCCTTCTTGTCATCTCAGCTGGAAGGGTCTCTCAGCAGTCCGTATATATTATGTTCTTGAGGACAGAGAGAGCAGGCTAGTGAATCTAGTGAGCTTCAGGAACTTCTTGGCACTATTGCATAATTTAATGAGCGTCCCTTCAGGACGGACTATTTCACCTCCCCTTATAATATCCAGTTGTTTTGTTTCCTCTTAAAGCATACTGTGCCTTACAGAGTTCCTTCCAAGAGCGGCTTTTTCATGTGAAGGAAATTGCTACACAAAACTTACTTGTCTCACTACCCTATGATATCTTACGGACAGATACTCCCACTTCTCTCTTCAGATATATTCCATATTAGATGCTGAAGTTCTTAAGTTGTCTGTTTGGCTGGAGCCTTTCAGGTGTCCTCTCTATTTCTGTTTCTAGCAGCGGCTATAGCGTTCTTCACATTAGAAGCACAGTTCTTCATTTCTCCGTCATTTTATCTATTTCAAAGTTGTTTCTCTCTGATTCTGCTTTTTCAGGGTTTCTAGGATAGTATTTTTGTCCAAGTGTACACTTTGTTGATTCTTTCTTTCCTCCAGTGTTGGGAATGGAATGCTGCGTTAAAGATCCAAATCAGGTTCCTGTTCAACCGTTTTGTTTTCTGAAATAGGTGCTCTTGAGGTTGCTCTGACCAATCCTGAAGTCGCAATCTTCCTGCATGGGTTAAATTATTTTTCCACACATGTCAGCTTTTTTTTTTCCTTTAAAAAAGTAACTTTATTGAGAATTTCATATGTACATATAATGTGTTTTGTTCAAATCTACCCTTCATCTTCTCCTCTCCAATTTCTTCCCATCCCATGACTATTTTTCTGTTCTCACTTCATGTGTTCTGTCATTTGTTGTGTTTGTCTTTTTGAATCTATGGAGTCCTTGTACTGCTGCCTGTGTGTGCTTGCGTGTGGGACCACCTACCACAGTGTGGTAGCCCTCAGGGACTGGATTCCTGAGGAAATATGGTTCTCTCTCCTCTCATAGATCTTCAGTAGCCAGTAGCTTTTTAGCTAGAGGTAGGACTTCATGAAGTCCTTCTATACCCATGCTGAGATTTTGAATGGCCTGATATTGTGCCGGTCTTATGCTTGTCACAGCTTATGTACAGTGGCCCTTTCATATTCAGCAACTAACGTTTCATTGCAGACATTTACCACTTCTGGCTCTTGTCGCTTCCTACTCTTCAATGATCCCCAAGCCTTTGGGAATGGGGTGTAGCATAGACTCCCCACTCATTTAACAATCTATAATTTTTTTACTCTCTGTCTGTTGACCAGTTGTGAGGATCCGTGTTAATCTCTGTCTAATGTACATAAAAGCTTCTCTAATAAAGATTGAGAGATGCACTAATTTCTTATTACAAAGATAAAAATTAAGAGTATTTTAATACTATTTTCAATAATAGTTTTAGTGCATCAATCCTAGGGCCTCAAAAACACTAGGCAAGCATGTTCTGTGATGCTGGCAGCATCCCAGCCCATTATTCTCCCTTAAACTTTAGATTTTCTAAGGATTTTTGTGTAGGAATGTTTTTCTGTTACCCATTTCATTCTGATGTTCATTTGTCTCTTTTACACAATTTTGAGGTTTCAAGGCCTCCAGTTTGAAAATGCTCCTTTATTCAATTTATGAAATCCTCTCATACTCAGCATGAGCGAAGTTGAATCTTGAGATTGGTAACTTTGTCTGGATGCTACCTAAGTCCTTAAAAATTTTACCTGGTCTCTAGGCTAGAGATCAAACCTGTTTTCCTTTTTTATCTTTTGTGATTTTGTTTTATCTGTTAGAGACCTTTCAGATTTACACATTTCTACATAATTGCATTTTGTATTAGTCACCTCTTTGTAGTTCAGTATCTAGCTACCTCCAAAGACAGTAAGCAGGGTACAGAGATGAATTCCTGTTCGCTCAGGTCATTGTCAGGCCCTTGTTGTAGACTTTCTCCTACATGAAAAAGGAACCCCACTCTCTTGCCTCCTTTTTCCTTTCTGACATCGTCTTTCTTTTTATCTATTACTGTATATAAATGCATCTGTTCTTTTTTATGGGTGAATAAATGGGGATTTTTAGTTCTTAACCTAAAGCCTGGTGATCAGTTATGGGAATAGTGTATAAATGGTGTTAATATAGGCGTACTCCATTTAAAAATTTGTTTATTCACAATACTAATGAAAATTAATTTTTTATATTTTAAAACACATACAATTAAAAGAGTAGTTTTAAAATGAAAGATTTAGAAAATTATTAGGGCAAAAGATGAGTTTTGAAGACTATCAGTTGAAGGTTTAACACCATCAAGAGAACCGGAGGATAATCTGAGTCTTAAATATTAGAAGACTTTTTTGCAGTGATAGCTAATTTACATTTGTACCTTTAAAACAGAAGCAAATATCAAGAGAACTACTACTTATCCTTAATATTTAAACAATTCTGCTTTTTTATTAATTTAACATATACTTTTATTGTATGATTTATTTTAACTTTAATAATAAACTTTTTGTAGCTTTTACAGTTTGTTTCAAGTTCTTGATTTTATACCATGAAGTTTTTCTAAATTTCTGACAAAAAATTCTACAACTAGTGTAAGTTTTGTAAACATTTTTCACCTAGAATTTTTCAAAGTTGTCCTTTTCCTTTTTTTATTTTGAAACTATTTTAAGGGTTGATATTTAAATATGTTAAAATTTATTATTGTGAAAATCCTAAATATAGTTTTAGTAAGAACATTAAGAACATTTCTCCTGCATCTTATAAAATAAATATATACTTTTGTTCATACTTCATTTTTATTATGTTTTAATACAAGTGCTCTAACTTTAGGTCCTTGAAGAAAATTTGATTGAAGCAAAGAAAGAAATTGAATCAGCACATAGTAAATATAATGCCGTGTCACTGCAGCTGAACAACAAACAGACTGAACTTCTCCAGAAAGATATGGATATTACATTGGTCCGGCAAGTATATTCAGTTCTGAATTTTATTAGAAGATCATTAGTCATTCAGCATGAGCACTTACATATATGTATATTGTTAACACTTCTAAATAATAACAATAGGTACATATGTTTGTGCAGTGAAAATCCAGAATAGTATGCACTAAAGCGGCACTAGTTAGTTAGGGGTGTGGGGGCTCCCCAGCATCGAGAGATCAGGACTCTGTTTAAACAAGAACAGTGTGTTTTAGCGTTGTTTCCTGAACTTTTCGTATGAATATGCACAGTGCATTTTTCTTAACTTAAAAACTGCAATTATTTACTTTTTAAATCTATTTCTTAAAGAGTTAAGGATGCCTGACAAAAGCAGCTTAGAGGAAGGACAGTTATCATCATACAGAGTTTCCCTAGGGGAAGGCATGGTTGCATTTAAGAACAAGCAGTTCTTGTCCATGTGACTGCCATATGAGGTAACTTGCTCACATGTTTACTGCTGTCTAGGAAGCAGAGAGAATTCCAGACTGGATCTGATACTGGGGTACAACCTGTCAACCCCATACCCGCATTGATCTGTGTTTGCAGCCTGGCCCTGTGTCTAGAAAGTTCAGTAACCTCATGAGACAGCACCAGCAGCTAGGAACCACAGCTAGAGATCACATGAGTTTATGAGGAACAGTTCACATGCAGACTCACACACGGACCCACAGACTTTTAATAATTTCTGTTTATTTTCCTTTCTTTGTCTTCTTATGAAGACAGGTCAAATTCCTTCCTTCCCAGTGGCCCAGAGGTATTTTTCCGTTTTTTTTTAAATGATTTTCATTTAGTCAGAGAAAGAAAGGGAGGAAGGAGGGAAGTAGGGAGGGAAGGAGGGAGAGAGAGAGAGATCATGTTTATTAATAGCATGGTTGTAAAGTAATGTAAGAGGTAGGACAAAAACACACTCTTCTCCACGCTGACATTTAATTCTCAAGTATCCCAGTAATGTGAGAATCTCCCTTCTCTATACTGTCTTTGTTATGACTGATGATACATATATTTTGAACATTAATGTAAAAAAAATTCGTATATATGAATTCTTGCTCTCTTATTAAGAGATATATGATATATCTGAATATTGGAAGATAAATAACTTCTTGTTTTTCTCTTGTGCCTGTTGCAGCTTACCTTCATAATGCCCTTTCTACACAGTCTCTTGGCCTCCAGGCTCTCACCATCCACAGTGGGCATACTATTGCTTTTCCCTTTGTTAAAATTTATGATTTAGTAAGAGAAAAGGGCATAGTCTAAATGGATGTTTACTGTTTATCTGTCTTTGTCAGATTTCCTAGAGACACTGTGCAGTTGCTTATTCTCTCATCCTCAAGATTTGAATGTTGTTTTTATACATTGCCACTTTCAGTAGTCTATGACTATTGAGAGGCAGTAGAAGATAGATTTTGCACATGTGCTTGTTTGTGTGGTTATAAATCCAATTGAGAAGAGTCTTGCCTTAAATGTCTAAAAATCAGATCTTATTTTCTCTGTATTAATTTTCATCAGTCTCAAATAGATATTTACATATTTCTTTATTTTAAATCTTTTCATGTATTTGAAGCCGTAAATAAGAAAAATGCCACTTTAAATGCACTCTCCATAATATATAAAATGAAATGTGTTTATGTTGATATATGTCTCTCTATATGACAGATGTTTTAACCAACTAAATGGAGGAGCCTGAAATAATGTCTCTATAATTATTTTTTATGTCAAAATACAATATACAAACAATGTCTAGTTTTATATGGATCTTGTCACAAAAGATTTTCTACCACAGTGATCTGGAAGTCTGTACCCCAGAGGTGTTGCTTTCTTGTGCCCTGAGCACCATAGCTCCTCAGCTAGGTCATTTGTCTTCCCACTTTACCAGTTTTCACCTGGGTGTTTGCAAACACTGGATCCCCTTGTGTTGTTTTTCTTCCTTCTGACTGTTGTACCTCACTGTCTTGCAGATCATCTCCAGAGTCGCATGGTGGTTTGAAAACTTTGTTAGACCTTTTGGTGTCTTTTTTTCCACTATATTTAAAGTTATTTGTTGTATAAAATGAAAGCTTAACTTACTCTATATTTAAAAGTACCTGATGACTATAGTTAAGACCACTGCTTCTGAGTCCATGGAACTGAAATTTTAACTTAATTTCAATAAGGAGGTGTTTCTATGACAATATATCCAGAATTTTTATTTCTATCAAGCTATAAAAGAAAATTGATAAGTATTTTGCCTTTGAAAGCCACAATAGTTCTGTCGATACTTTCTAGGTGTATGTGATAAATATTAAATACTTTATATATGATCTCGTTTATTAATAAGTTTGCCTGTAATAAAAAATAATAGATGAAAATAGGAAGCCAATCTATACTCAGATGAACACAATTATTTAGCTGAGGTGATCTGTATTCATGCTTCTCTATTTATTGCTTGCTTTGCACAGGAAAGAGTTGCAGGAGCTGCAGAATCTGTACAAGCAGAACAGTGCACACACAGCACAGCAGGCAGACCTGATCCAGCAGCTCCAGGTTCTCAATATGGATACGCAGAAAGTACTGAAGAATCAGGAAGATGTTCACACGGCTGAAAGTATATCATACCAAAAAGTATGGTGCTAGTTTGTTGTAAAGATGTTAAGTTACATGTATGAATTTAGGAAAACAGATTCCAAGCTTTTAGAAATTTTGTATCATTTCTTTTTAAACATAGTTTAACTTGTTAATATTTAAGTTTTGTGAGCTTTCTATGGTAAGATTGAAAAAGTTGAAAGTACAGATATAAAATCAACTTGTAAGTTGAAACTTTTATTTCTTCTGTGAAACATCTAGGTTCAGTAGTACTTGGATTATAAGAAGTAATTGGAGCAAGTGTGATCCAGATGTGTGACCTAAGGCACATATAAAATCTGCTTTGTTTTATTGGCGAATGTGCACAGACACTAAGGCAACACTGAAGTGATCTTCACGGTCATTCATTTTCAAGGATTTCTCTCTTTGTTTCTGAGGTTCTTTTAGTAATCACTGTACTCTAGTTGATTCAGGAGCCCACAGCAAGGCTGATGTGTCTCTTTAGTTATGCCAACAGACTCAGCACTGCTCATCCTGCTATTAATTTAAAGAAGCCCCAGTACTGAGCTCTTTATATAATTTGTTCAGTGTACTAAGTTGTTTACATAAATAACATCATGAGAGTAATGCTTCTCTTTAATAGCTGAGACTGGATGAGGTTGGAGGAGGTTGAAGATGGTTTTATGTTTTATAACCCACAGTTCTGAGGGCAGAAGGTGGTAGGTGGAGTCTGGATGCTGTGTACACGTGGGCTAGGCTGATGAGTGCAAGTATGTTGTCAGCTTCAGAGCCGCATTTGTTGAGAAGCTTCTTTGTGCTTAGTGGGAGTCAGTGCTGGTCCCAGGAGCTTTGTCTGGGCTCAGCAGGTTCCTCGTTACTCTAGAGGCCCATGACTTTGTATTCCTAGTGATAGCAGAGTCTAGGTTCAACACTATTGAGCATGTGTCAGGAAACAGAGAGTGAGTTGTGCATTAGACATGGAGGCCCTGGGGAAGCAGGGTTCTTCCAGCTGCTTTCAGCACTCCCAGAGCCTCTTCAGCAAACTCCCTCAGGGGAGGGAGGACACTGGGATAACCCATTGCATTGCCAGACCAGGGCTCAGATGCCATCCACACATGTCAGGTGCTTAGCTTTAGAGGCTGAGCAGTCTCAGCCTTCACAATAAAACACAGACAATCGAACATATTCCTTGACACAGAGAATGAGATCATTGCCATGACAATGTAAGCGCATGCTTTTCTTAGTTACAAACTTTTATTGTTAAATGTTTTCATACAATATATTTTGATCATATTTCCTATTCCTCCCCCAAACTTTCCCAGATCCATTCCACCTCCTTACCCAGCCAAGTGTTCTATTTTTTCTTTCCCTCAAAAAGAAAAGAAAAGAAAACAAAACAAAACAAAAACAAAATTATAAACAAGAAAGCACTTTTTTAAAAAGGCATGGAGTTCATGTTGTGTTGGTTACCTGCTCCTGACCTTGATGCCTATCTTGGAGGATGTTTGTCACTTCAGTGGAGAAAACTGGCTTTTACTTTCCCAGCAGGTATCAGTTATAAGGAGTTTGCTTATTGGCTAGGAGTGGGACTCGGTATCGCTTCCCCTTATCCATGCAGGGATTTTTCTCTGGATGAATTTGTGCAGGTCTTGTGCATGCATCACCATTTCTGTGTATTCATGTGTGCATTGGCACTGTTGTGTCTGTAGGATGCTCTTTCCTTAGAGTCATCCATTCCCTCTGGCTCTTACAATCTTTCTCCTCTTCCTGAAACATCAAGAGAGGAATGTGAAACAGACATAGAGAGCCAAATGCTCCAAGATCTTTCATTGTCTGCATATTGGGTATATGTGGGCCTCTGTGTTAATTAATATCTACTGCAAGAAGAAGCTTCTCTGATCAGGGTTGAATCATACACTGATATATGGGTACAATAATATGTCATTAGTCATTGTTTTATTATTATGCAAATTTAGTATAATAATGATGATAATAATAATAGGTTTTTCCTCCAGCACTTGACCTGTCTAGTCTCATGTTCTTGGCTTCATTAACAGTGTCAGGTGCTGGTTATATCACATGGAGTGGCCTTTAAATATAATAAATAAATAAGCAAATAAACAAACAAGTGGCTGGTTACTGCTGTGCCCTTTGTGCTGCTATTGCTCCAGTGTATCCTGTAGGTAGGTTGCTGTCCGGGTCACAGGATTTGTAGCTAGGTGGGATTGATGCTTTCTCCTTAGATAGTGTTCACTGTACCTTGAAGGCTATGAACACTAGTTAGTAGGGGTGAAGCTTCTGGTTAGGCACCAGCTTGACTTTTCCAAGTATCATGATCTAGATATTTGTTCTCTTCAGCAATGGGGCCTTCTATCAGTTGGTGGAGGGTAAATGACAGAATGGGCAATGATGTGTAGTAATTAGTGCTGTGTGGTGGGAGGTAGCTAGGAAGTGAACAAGTTCAATCACAAACAAACAGGAACAGTTAAGCAAGAGATGTGTATATGGAATAATATCCGAGGAATGAATTTTCCCCGTTCCTAGAAGCATGCTGGTCTAGATCTTTTCTTCCAGGATTTTTTGTTTGTTTGTTCTCATTGCTTTGAAGTAGTATTCACTACAATACCCAGTTTGCTCCACTGTCTAGAATTATCCACCCAGTCAGACCAGCTACAACTGGGAAACTTCTGAACAGGAGTGCAACTGAGCAACCTTAATGAGAACAGCAGAAGAATGTATTTGATCTTCTGTTTGATGAAGCAAGAATGTGAGGCCAGAGAGATGGAAGAGCTTAACGGAGGCCATTTTCCTGGGTGACTAGACCCAGAGCCTTGTGTGTATGAAGGAGGAGCTCAAGAGGTGACACCTGAGTGTCAGGTACATCCTGCTCACTCCTGCTAACCCCAGCCATCTCCATGCAGCCTGGCTCTAGTCTCCAGAGCTTGCTCTTACCCAGTCATGAGAGCATCTGTAGCATAGTTGATTATTGGACCTGCACTGACCCTTTGATGGTCCCTGTGAGCTGTCAGTATTCTTACTTTCTTCTTAGAGTGTCTGATATCATTAGCTGTGAAAAACTGTTGACATATACCCCTGTATAAAGACAGTGGCAAAGGAAAGCATAAATTTGTATGTTGAAATTCTTTATTAACACTTATTTTTGCAAAAATTGCCTAACTTTTGCTATGAAGTGATATGAATTATTTAAGTATTTATAATAATAGATATCATTTACAGACCCCCCAAATTTGATTATTTTCAATTAATATAATTAATATTATATTTTCACAAAATATTTATATTTTTCACAAAAATGCAAATGCCTTTCTCAGAATTTTAAGCTTTAGAAATTTAGTTATATCACATATTGAGAAATGTATAGTAATATTCACTATGTAGATGAATTTAAACTTACATTCTTGTGAATTTTTGTCTTTCTTCAGTAGTGGACACTAATTTATAGTAAATGAAAATAATTAAGTTAATATTAAAGAATTCCCAGTGAAATATGCAGTATGCTTCTGTCTCCTTTTCTAACAAATTACAGAAATTTTCACAGTACTGCGATCTTTAGAGTGATTTTAAAAACCTGGGCCATTCTAGTAGAATTGCCATTGCTTTTTCAAGTCTTTTTTTTTTCCATAAAGCCCTTCAAATGAGTATATGTAGCTTAGAATCTTTTCTTTTGTTTGTAACAGTTTCATTATCAGTTATCCTGGCCAAGAACACATCTTACCTTTTGGATGACAGGTATAGTTTGATATTGATATCTAACTATACCACTTATACATTGTGTCTGCTTCTTGGCTAGTAACATAACTTTAGGGCAGGTATATGTCCATATGTAGTTCATATATATGTAGATATATGTGCACATACTTGCCTTATTGATTACATCATTTTTGGTTATTTTCAACAGCTTTATAATGAATTACATGTTTGTTTTGAAACTACAAAATCAAATGAAGCTATGCTCCGGCAAAGTGTTGTTAATCTTCAGGACCAACTGTTTCAAAAAGAACAAGAAAATGTAAAATTAAAGGAAAAACTTCAGGAATCAAAAGAAACATCCTGTTTATCACCACACGAGAGTGAGTCAAACCAATCAGGAAAGGTGAGAGATTTCCTAAAATGTTACGTTATTATTTTATGTTTTATGTGAAAACATGAATGTTGTAGATGATACATATTGATAAAGGAAATGCATGTAGATATACAGAAGATATTAAATATAGAAGCTATGTGTGTGTATTTGTGTGTGATGCATTAATGTATTTATGTTTACATGTTTATGTTTACATGTTTATATATGTGTGAAAACATATATAAATATATATATGTGTGTGTATACACACACACACACACACACACATATATATATGTATGACATTAGCTATCCTCTGTCATTCTTCGTCTCCTTGCTTGTAGAGGTAAATAAAATAGCGAATGCTGTGTCCAGCGGGATGGCCTGGACCAGCCCCTGTGGTCTGCCTGCCTGTCTCTGCTGTCCCAGCAGTATGGTTACAAATATATTCCACAGTGCCTGCTTTTTTTCTTTGCTTTTTAGGGATCTGAGGTCAGATTTCCATGCTTCTGCAGCAAGCATTTCACTCATTTTATGGGTTAGTGTTTATTGCTAACTTGACAGGCACACCTGCGAAGGATTGTTTAGCCTCTGGGCTTGCAAGAAGGTTCTATTGTGTAGGTTAATTGAAGTGGGGAGATGTACATTAAAGTGGGATGCCATTATTCCTTGGGCTTTGGTTCTTTACTATACAAAAAGAACCATATAAGCTGGGCACAGATATTCATCATTTTTGCTTCCAGATTACAGTGTGGCCAACTAATTCAGGCCTTGACTTCCCTTGGACCTGGGCTGAAATAACCCTTTTTTATTTGAGTTGCTTCTATCAGGGTATTCTACTGCAGAGAGAGGAGAAGAAACTGAGACACTGAGTCATCACTCATCTTCACAGCTAACCCTCAATAACTATAGGTCTGAAAACCACTAACTTTAAATTTTTAAATAAATTGCACCTGTCCTGAACATGTACAGGCTATTTATTTGCTTTTAATTATTCCCTAACAAAACAATGCAATAATTCTTTATGCAGTATTTATTACCTCAGGTATAATATATAGAAATGGCTTAAACATATAAAAAAACAAGCAAAGGTTACATGCAAATATTTCAATTTATTTTAAAATTATGGACTTAAGCATTTGTTGATTTAAAAGGGATTTAGATCCAATGCCCTATAGATATCCAAGGGCAAATTAGTGGTTATTGTGGTAAATTATGTGGTTATTGAAGAACAAGTTAATAGGTCATGGCTAGTTGAGACTCTAACTTAAATAATAAAGTAGAAAGGGTGCCTATGAGTATGTCTCATAAGTTTTTGCCACAATGTGTGTTTTATTATACTTGATTCCTATTAGTGGTAGCCTTTTCCTGGCATTGCATTGACTTGGGATTTTGACCAGGTCTAAATATCTACATATTCTTTATGTTATACAAATGCCCTGAGCAGCACAGTAACACAGGGACCTAGGATGGCATGTGCAATGGGAGACAGAGACACAAGACTGTGGGTTCACTTCTGGAATGAACATTTCTTAACACTTCCATTGCTGTTTACATATTGTTTTGCTAAGTACTAAAGATACTCTGCAAGCAGAACTTGAGCATACAGCTTCTTGGAGCCTTTTATCTGAGTTCCTCGTTTGGCATGTCTCTGCCCTCAGAGTCTTCTTTTGCCTGACCCTCCTCCCAGACATGATCTCCTGCCTGCAGTTTTCCCACAATTTCTTAGCCATCTCTTTGTCAGAGTTCGTGCCTGATAAGGGAACTGCAGACCAACAGGACCTTTTCAGACATGAACAAACTCTGTGTAACCTAAAGCCAAGTTCCTTCTAAATAAATACTGATATTAATAGTATTTATATCATAGCCTTTTATGGTATGTCTTATAGATCATCTTCAAGATGACATCACAGTGTTCTTTTTAAAGAATTTTATTTACTTTAGCATAATTAATGTGGGCTATGTGTCACCAGTCACATTTCCAAAGAAAAATGGGTTGACTTTCCATAGCAGCCATCGGCTGACAGTCTAAGCTAGGAGTGGGACTCGGGAGCTTGCTGTCCATCCATGAAGGAATTTTGACTAAGTTGATCTTGTGCAAGTCTTGTTCAGGTAACCATAGCTGCTCTGAGTTCATGTGCAATAGTTTTGTCATGTCCAGAAGGCATCATTTCATATCTCTCCATGACATCCCCTGACTCAGATGGCCTTTCCGGCCACTCTGTTTCTGTATTCCCTAAGCCTTGGGAGGGAGAAGGGTGATATGGATAACCCTCTACAGCTGAGCACTGAAGGTCACTTAGTTCCACACTCTGATCAGCTGCAAGCCTCTTTATTAAAGGCTACCTACTGTAAGATAAAACAAAACAAAACAAGCGCCTTTTATCCCCTGGGACAACAGCACAAATCTATTGGTATACAGTATTTGGAAACCAATGTAGCCATATGAGCAGTTAGACAAACATTAGCTTTCTTTGGGGGCCTTTGACCTCAGACCTGGATTTTGACCAGATTTACTGTTCTCCACATGAAATACTTCCTATGAAAAACACCTCAAATCTAACCCATTCATGACTGCCATGCTGATGTTAGAGTCTTGCCTGGTAGACTGGAATTGAGCTTGCAGGGCCAAAGCCTGGTATGACTGGTGATGGCTTTTCTCCCCTTAGTAGCCTACATAGCAATTTCCAGCACTGTGATTGCAATCCAGCTGGTAGTTTCCTGGTCAGTTCGAGATTGGTTTTTCATGTCCTGCAACCAAAGGGTATGGTATCTTCAGTGATAGGGTCTTACCATCTAGTTTTGATGGGAAGCCATGAACAATGAAGTTTGGTTCTTTTTGTGGTCTCGCTGACCAATAAATCTTGGAGCAGTATCCTGTATCTGGCATTGAGACTTTCTTTTAATAATCTATGTCTTTTGGAGACAGCATTGTCAACTCATAGAGTGACTGTTCAAACTCCATTTTTTAAATGATATTTTAAAATTAGCTTGTAAACCCGTGGTTTTCCCTAAGATTTTTGAATATGTCCTTTTAGTCTGGCCCTACTCCTTTAACCCCATCCAGCTGGGATCATCACTGCTTAAACCTTTAACTCACAGGGCTCCCTCTCGCCCCGTCCTCAATGGCACTTGCGTTCTACCATCTCTCTAATTAAATTTTATTGTGGTTGCAAGATCAAGGTTCCCATAAAACATTGTCATACACCCTTTAGTTTGGTTAACAGTTCCCCTGTCCCCACATTTCTGCATCTCCAGCCCCTCAATTATTGAACCATTCTGCCCCCAGTATTTCCTCCTCTGCTTTCATTTTAATTAAATTGTACAATCTCCCCTCACTAATTGCTTTTGTCCCCAGTGGCCAGGTCCTAGTTTTTTCCTTCCACATAAACTTCAAGTTCAACACACGAAACAACAGATTCAAAACTGGGTTCAACATTATTGAGAAAATATGTGATATTTGGTTTTATAAGTCTAGGAGATTTCACTAAGCATATTTTTTCCTAATTCTATCTATTTACCTGCAAATGTCATAATTTCACTTTTTATAGCTGAGTAATATTCCATAATATATATTTACCACAGTATTCATTCATCAGTTGACGGACATTCGTTTGGTCAATTTCCAAGCTAATATGAATAGGATATCAGTGAAAACCGAGATGCAAGTGTCTTCTGATTAGGATGTAAAGTCCTTTGGATATTTGCCTAGGAGTGCTATAGTTAAGGCAGATATTTCTCTTTCTAGTTTTTTTGAGAAACTGCCAGAGTGAAATGGAATGTGGCTATCCCAGGACTCCCAGCAAAAATATTTAAGTGTTCCCCTGTATCTACATTTATGCCAGCGTTTGCTCTCATTCATTTTACCAAGGACTTATATAAGATAGAATCTAAAAATAGCTTTCATTTTAACCTGCATTTCTCTAATAATAGGAAAGGGTGTTGAATATGTTTTTAAGTGTTTAGTAGTCCTTTATATTTTTTCTTTTCCTTTCTTCCTTTTTTCTTTTCCTTTTCTATTTGTATATTGTAGACACTAATCTCCTGTTGGAGTTATATCTGCTAAAGATTTTCTTCCATCCTCCAAGCTGTGTCTTCACTTGATTTTCCATTTGTTTTGCCACACAGAAGCATTGTGAGTTCCTGAGACTCCAATGGTCACGTGTCTGTCCTATTTCCATCCCATTGGTCGCCTGTTATATCCTTGTGCACCCAGTGTCCTACTCAGAAAGTGCACTTCTGTGTCTCTAAGTCACAACAGTTCACGCTTTTCCTCTGATGATTTCAGATATCATGTCTTATGTTGAGGTCCTTGATCTATTTGAAGTTGAGGTATATGGAGGACAAGAAGTAATGGTACAGTTTTATTTTTTAAAATGTTAAAATTTAGGTTTCTTGGTACAATTTGTTGAAAATGTCTTTTCCTCAATGTATATTTTTGGTATCTGTGTCAGAATCACATGACTATAGTTGCATGGAATTATATTTCATTCCATTGATCTGTGTGATGTGTGTGTGTGTATGCACGCTCGCTGAATTTCTTAACCTGTCAGTGCAGTATAATTTAAAGTCAGGTGTAGAGATACCTTACTCAGTCTTCTTTATGTTCAAATTTACTTTGCCTATCTTTAGTTCTTTGGGATTGTTTTTCTATGTCTGTGTAGAATAGCCCTGGATTTCGATTTGGATTGCATCTGACCCATCAACTGCTATAGACAGCAGTTTTTACAGTTGTTCCTCCTTTCCACTCAGAGCGTAAGCAGTCTTTTCATCTTCTCAAGTTTTTCTAAAATTCCTTTTCCAGCATTTTAACTTTTCAATGCAGAGATCTTTCATTTCTTTGGTAATTATTTCCATATAGTGTGTGTGTGTGTGTGTGTGTGTGTGTGTGTGTGTGGCTATTGTGAATGGGATTGTTACCTTGACCTTTGTTTTTCAGTATGTTTGTCATTCGTATATAGGAAAGCCACTAATTTCTCTGTGTTAATTTGTAACCTGCCATTTGTTAAAAATGTTTGTCAGCTATATTT